CATATTCAATGGCTAGTTCCCAGGATCTACAACAGTAAATAAATAAACAGAAATCATTTTGATGCGTGGTTTTTAGATGACACTGCCATATCGCACAGATATTCAACACCACCATATCGAATTTGGATTTGGACCATACCATTTCAAGCTGCAGGGTGTCTAAACAATGACTCAACAAACAATAAACACATCTCCCACCCACCACACAAATTTTAGCCACAATTGAACAACCAAGAAAGCAACAAATAGCAGGCTGCATCTTGAAAACAACGAGATACCACATTACAACCAGTCATTACAAACATGAAATCCTCCACCATCCCAGTACACCCTACAGCATTAATGGTTCCTATACTCATTTGCATCTATGTACAACAAGCTTAGCCAATAGATGCACCTGACTCATCAAACTTTTGACCAACCACTCATTCTAAATATTGTGGAGTGAGGGCGCTATTTACTAATGAGAGAAATCTTTTAAACGAATTAAACAGATATATATATATACAAAAAAACAACATATGAAATGAAATTATAGTTGACATTTCGTCGTTTCACTGACTTAGGAGAGCATTTTTTGATTTGGATTTGAATGTGTGTCTGTTCATTTCATTTTTGACTGTCCTAGAAAAGGAATTCTACGGAAGCTTATTAGGGACATACATAAAAAAAAAAAATTAAAACTCGTGGCCACGACTTACTGTCTCATGGCCACGACTTACTATTTTGGGGCCATGACTTACTATTTCGTGGCCACGACTTACTATTTCGTGGCCACGACTTTGTATTTCGTGGCCACGAGACACTATTTCGGGGCCACGACTTACTATACTATATTTCAAATCGACAGTTGATATCAATCAGCTGAATTGGAAAGTGCCGCCATTTCCCGGTTGATAGTATTAAGATGTTACTGTTACCTTCTACAATATTCATGTTTTTAGATATGTACCTCTCACTGTGAGATCAGATCCCGGGGTACTCCAATTGCTGGAAGTATTTGGGTATGTGGAGCTGTGTTTACCCCATTTGTTCACGGTCGAGCCCCCTAGTTTTGTATATTAATTAACCACATTTAAGCATTTTTACTTATTTCTCGTGTACTATTAAACAAATTTCAATAAAATTTGATATATAGATGCTCTGGGATAATGTGCAGATCTGTTTAGTTTTTGGTTGAATTTGTGCATAAAAATGACCTAATTTGCATATTAATTAGCCAATTTTAGGCATTTTCACTTGCTTCTCATGCACCATTAAATAGGTTTCAATGAAACTTGATAGAATGTACAGTACTGATTAGTTTTAATTGAAATTGTTTGCATATTAGTTACCTTATTTGCATATAAATAAGCATTAAACAGATTTCAATGAAACTTAATAAATACACATGTAGGTGTTTAGGGATAAGCCATATACATATTCAGTTTAGGGTTACATTTAACTGCTTACTAATTACCTAATTTGCATAAATTAACCAATTCATTGGTACTCCACATATATGGAACTAGGAACATAGGTGCTTTTAAATAATCCACAGATCTGATATTAATTTTATTACTCACCTCCTATAAGGTTCATATGTATTTCTTAATTTACTAAGTACTGCATATAGTGACATGCAATCGGTGCTATAATTGTGCTGTCTGACAAGATATATAACCAAAATATCAAGCCAATATTTATGGTCATTTTTCATTAAATATTTATAATTGTTAAACCATAGCTAATTGGGACCAATTCTATTTTTAAATACTGTATTTGCTTTATTAGAAGCACATGTGCTTACTGTAAAAATATCAAGTCTATGGTCAAAGACGCATTTCAATGATTTTGCATGCAATAAGCACAGTTTTTGTTCTATGTGTATTGAAGCTGTGCTTGTAATACAGCAATTGTACTTCATGCCTCAAAAGCCTTCAGCAATCGGGAGTTCTTTCTAAGCTAAGATCTTGTCTGTCAAGGACAATGATGTATTTTAACAAGTCCATCTATAACATACAACTGTATTGAAAGAAGAACTCAAATGATAAAATGTATTTTATGATCTGACTGAGTGACATTTTGAATCAAATCACAAACAATAATTACATTTTATACTGCTTTATAACTTCCGCTACCACTGCTTTATGAAGCAATTTTTAAACGCACTTTGTATGATCACAATTGCAAAATCTTCAATATACAACAGTTAAAGATGATTGGGGATTGTGTGAAGCTAAGTCTGTGTCTTATCAATGACAACATTTCGCCAAGCATGATTTTGGCAGCTGTTATCATGAAACACTATTTGGCACTCTATTGAATCACTGGCATTCAATTCTAGCTTATCTGCAGTTACTCCTTAATGCCTTGAACATAGGTGGTATATTGTGAATAAATCTCAATTTAATTATTGAATAATAATTATTTAAAATTAGTATTAAGCAATGTCATCACAAAAATACAATATGTTTTTCATCACATTGACCACATAATATGTTTTACATTCCTACAGTACTAAAGTAGCCATGGCAGACCAATTATATGACTGTTTGAGACGTCGTGGTGCATCAAGAGGGGTGATAGATAAGCTGAGAGATGATAAAATACTTTTTTCTGCAAATTTGCACCTGATGTGTATGCTTATTTGTGTGTGAAAGTGTGTATAGTCATCTGCCTGTCATGTCATTAATGCAGGCTGTATATAATACTACATATATTGCATCAATGTTAATATATCAAAGTAAACATATATTTGAAGTAATTTTCATCTGTTTCAATTCATGTTTAGATAGATCCAGCTGTGGTTATTTTGATGGAGGATGACATGTTGTCAAAATACATCCCTTCTTATGGTGATCGTTTAGCAGGTATTAACTTTTGTAGGAAAATGGATTGTCGATGCAAGTCATCATACTAGAGGGAAATTGCCCTGTTGAATAGGCTGCGAAGCAAATTGGGTTTGGAGAGAAGAACGAAGAGCAAACAACAGTTGCAATCATCTGATGAAGATGATGGTGATGATGATGAAGATTCATTTAAAAAACGTAACCCAGATCGTCAGAGATGTTTTGGTAATAAGAATGCCATGAAAAGAGACAGATTATGGTTGGCGTTGGCTGGACTACTGTTTCTCAACCAACTCTTTCAAACAAGTTCGCAGTAAAGAAGGTGGGGGTACAAGAAATATGTCTGTCCGAAAGAACAGTAAAAAAGCTGAACTTTTACAGTTAGGGATCTTCTTTCCAAATGGAAAGGAAAGAATGGAAAGAAGGAGGCTTGACGAATTTGAAGTTGACCTAAAGGATTTTGAAGTTAATACTATAGATGATGACAGCACAGTTCAAGATATTTATGACACATCTGGTTTTATCTAGCAACAAAGAAGAAGTCCATGTCAGTTGAGACTGTTGGTCAAGCGCAGTCTGTGAATCTGAAAAAGTCTTTTGATGAAACTGGTGTGGAAATGGCTGAGCCACTGCATGTGAATTTTGAAACGTTGCAATCAGACACAGCCATTCCATGTACTAGCACAGGTGTTACAAAGGAAAACCATCAAACACGTACCTGTATTGGATAACCTAGAACACTACCAAGTAGACAGAGAACTACCTGGTCCAAGTACAGATCGTACTAAAGTTAAAGAAGCTTTGTATGATGATGGTGATGATGATGATAGCATCAATTCAGGCATAGTCCACTTTTGCAGTGATGTGCTATTACAAGGTAGTCTCAGCAATTTTAATGATACTATCCCTAACACTGAAACCATGCATGTCCTGGAAATTCTACATCCTGGGGGGGGGGAGATGGATACGTATGATTGTGATACATAGAAGCAAAATTCTGGAAGACATGTTGAAAGTATTTTCTGACCCTGGTATTCTTGCTGAAGATATTGATATACTGGTATTGCCAGACAGTTCATCCATGGAACAGGCAGTTGGTAGTGGAGTCATTAGAGAGTGTTTCACCACCTTTTGGGTGGAGTTTTATGAACGTTGCACTATTGGAAACATATACAGACTTCACACGTAGTTCATGGGAAGCAGTGGGCAGAATTATTGTCAAAGGTTCCTATTTAGCTAAATACTTCCCAACTGCCTTAGCACAGCAATTTGTCATGGAAGTTTTTCTAAGGGAAGTAATTATCCTGCGTGATTCCCAGCAGTTACTTGAAGCTTACTTTCTGTTTGTACCCGAAAAGCGAGCGTGAGGTATTTAATCAGGCAATTTCTGATTTTAATGCAGTAGATGAGGAAGATCTTACTGATGCTCTAGATAGCCATCAATGTCGGAAGTTGCCCAGTGCTGATAATATGCGTGAAATTATTTTGGAGATTGCTCACAACGAGATTATACAGGAACCTATGTTTGTTGCAGACTATTGGAGAAAAATACTTCTACCACTTTCCAGTACCATTTGTAGCGGCAACATCAACAAGTTCTATGGGGACAAAAAGCCCATCCCAAAGCAGTTACAGTTTCCAGAACAAATGAATACAGAAGAAAAGATAGTGGGGAACCATTTACAGAAGTATATACGTGAAATTGATGGATCATTGTTGAAGAGCTTTCTACGTTTCATTACTGGATCTGATCTGATCCTCTAAACATATCATTTGTCAAGCTGTCTGGTATAGGCCGTCGTCCAGTAGCACATACCTGCTCCAATTTACTGGAACTGCCTTCATCATATGACAACTATCCAGACTTTAGAGCCAAATTCATTTTGAATGCTGGTGTTTGGGTGATGGACATTATTTAGAAAATGTTTAGTTGTATTGCACAGAAAGTTTATTTTCACTTGCTATCCTTGTGTCGAAATTGCTTGTATTTGGCATGTTTTTTTGTTTTACCCACATGTATCCGATTGTTCGGTTCAAGAGGCAGTCATTAATGCCCTATTTATGTCGTTTATCAGTAATCTCGGTGGCATGAAAATCATGCTATCAACACTAGAGCAGTTATAACAGTTACATTTCAAAATACTGTTGTGCTGTGTTACATAAATCGTTCATAAATCACCTACTTTGCTATCAGTGACCATTAGTATTGAAGGAAAGAAGCATGCCTTACCGTTTTTTTCTATTATAAATCCTGTTTTATCTACTAGTATTATGTTCGTTTCTCCTCTTGTTATGGTATTGAATTTCAGTGACTATTATATATATTCACATGTCTTGGATCAGACGTTCAGTTTTAGCTGTATTGACCACATGTAGGACGTTGGTATGTTTTACTTGTTACTGTATACTCAGCTAAATGAGTCACTGAAATAATAAACGTTGTTGTTTGGATATTCAAGTGTTATTTTATTTATTAATACAAATGAATTATTCGTAATTCATCGTTTCCAATTGCGTTAGTCAGTGATGCAATCTCATATCTAAATTTGCTAAAATTCACCCGAAGGCTACTTTTAAATTAATTAAACTCTCAATCGACATATGTCTGCAATTATTATCAAATTTTTACCCACGGTGTGTATGAACATTTGTTCAAATCACACAGTATATCATG